AGATGTGTATAAGAGAGTTATATACAGTAGCTTTGCTGGATTGACAACATTCGTTAAATATAGCGCAAGACAAAAAGCTGTTGATACTACAGTAGTACTCATTGACGTCATACCTACATTGTGTGAGAGCACTTAACATGAATAGATATTATAATATACAAGTTCTGCTACCTACTGTATACAATATTTATACACTTGAAATGAATTATTATACATGGTTATGATTATACTACAGTATCGTAATACCCAACAAGAATGTGTACATAACTTTTTTTTCACAATACTGTAATATGAAAAATTCATTAAGTCTTATGTTTGTTCAGTTGCTGAATCATATAATATTTTTACTGTTACACATTTATACAAATAAAGAGGTCTTCCACAATTTACTTTTGTAGTCAATATTTTAATATTCTTTTTCTCAGTCCTTCTGCCATTGAAATTGTATATGACATACTGTACCTTGGTGATTCCATTATTTTTTCATTTACGCTAAAGGATAAATTTGAGAAAGAAAATTGGTAAAACCCTGATCTCAAGAGCCTAAATAATAAACCTCTGCATGTACTGTAAACCATGTACTGTAGTACTTTGCTAAAAAATAACTATAATACAATACTAAATGAACTTTACTGATAAAAAAGTTTGTTCAAGGAGGCATTTGATGCATATAATATTATTATAAACATTTTATCTGCAGTATATTTTTCAAGAACAGACAGTTATAGTATATTAGCTTGATAATGAAGAAAATGCATTCCAAAAAATGGATTCTATAATTTACTAAAAAGAAATATATAATACAAATTTATGTGTAATTTATACAGTATTTCTGTGATGTTTCTGTTTAAATAAAACCATAATCAATGAATAAAAGGTTGCAAAGGGCCCTCAATAGGGTACTGGGCAAGTCCCCCTTTTCATCAGGTGTTTTTGACATATTAAAACATATTTTGATGTTTTTTACACTTTCTGCTCTTTTAGTGGTCTCGCTTGGCCAATAAGGGCCCATAGCTCTGAAAAAAATTGCTGAATAATATCCCAGGGCAACAGAGACTATTTTCAGACATCAGTTACACCAGCGTAACGTTAACCGAGTGGTGTGAAATTGTGCGCAGCATAACGAATGCCAGTATTAACATGCAATCACTGGCGTACGGTAATCCACCAACAGACATAAGATTGGCGTACACTACTGAGTTACGAGAGTCAAGCATCAATGACTCTGAACTCGGCCAAGATTTGACCAATCTCAATAAGCCTAGATGTAAAACAGGATATAAAATGCGTGATTACGAATACCTCGCACGAATTATGTCTAGTCTGGACATCTTGTAATTTTCTTCTTTGACCATTATGTAATAAATGTTAATGAATGAATCTTGCTAGCCATGGATTAACAAACGCCCAGCGTTCGATACGTCTGGCGTATCTCTCAAGTCTCAACTTAGCCTTAAGCTTTGTTCCCCTGGCTTTGTGAGCTTACAACTGTTACATCACTGTACATTATTTGTTTAGTGGCATAGTAAAAACTATAATATTGTACATACAGAGTATTTACAGTGGTCCTCTAAACAAGAAACTACCTTGGTGAGTTGGATGAAATTGAGTATTGACGACTTGACGAAGTTGTTGGCTGCGACATCGACAACGAATCAGAGGAATGGCCATCAGCTGCTGTGAAAACATTATACGGAAGCGTCAAAGTGCAACAGGCCATACGGAGTGCCGCATCCGGCAACTCACCAACCACGTCCCATTCATCTTCATCAATACTGTAACTATGAACATCTCGTTCCCGCTGTCGGCTTAGTCCGTTATAACCACCAACAATGTATATTTTGCGATTCTCCGTGACGGTCACTCCGGCCATACTTAAACCAGTTAACATTGGTGACAGCATAGTCCATGTGTCTGAATCCAGTGAGTAACATTCAACACTCATGACATCTACGCGGTCACCATACATATTTAGATGGTTACCACCCATGACATAGAGTTTATTTTTTACTGAACACATCATGTGGAATCCGCGAGCAACATTCATTGGGCACTTGCTGGTCCATTCGTCTGATACGTGATTGTATGTGTGAACATCCACGCTAAAATTTCTGTTCATAAATCCACCGGTAATATAGAGTTTATTCTGGAGCACACAGCCTGAGAGAGCGTAGGTTCCTGTGTGCAAACGTGCAACAAATTTCCATTGATTACGATTTGGCTCATAGCACTCAACTGAGGAGAGTGCGCCTTGTTCATTTTTCCCTCCAATAGCATACAGACAACCATGATACGCAACTAATGTAAAAAACGCTCGCCTTTGCTGCATGGGACACATCTGAAGCCAGGAATTGAAACGTGGATCATATCGATGCACAGTACCGATACTATCTTTACCATTTGAATTCAAAGTTATCTGCCCGCCAACAACGTATAGATACTGATTCAATTCTGCAACACAGTGATCCACTCTTTTCATTGGCATTGATGTCAGAGACTTCCACTGAGCATGGAACTCATCAAATATCAAAACACGGTCACTGACACGTTTTGGTGGGCTCTCTCCTCCGAGAGCAAGTATAACTTCATTTGTTGATCGTAGCTTTGTGCGTGGTGATTGCATCGCATGCTGCCGGTGTGGAACCAGATGATAATTTAACGCTTCTAAAAGATACTGATGGCATTCTTGTTGCCGCATCATAAAATCTTGATTCTGAACATGATCTACCAAATCATTTGAGGAAATCAATGGGAACCGTACGTTCCTCATTAATTGGGGTGCGTATTCAATCCTTTCCTCTGTTGCATGATTTAACCACTTAGCCCCGATTTGAAAAAGTTGCAACTCTGAGTTTGTCGCCATTCGATCTTGGCTTAAGAAGAATGTTACTTGTTCTGCATTTAACGTCTGAAACTCAGGTGTGTGACTCACCGCAATGAAATTATCGATGATAAAATCTTGCGCTACCAACATCAATCCTCGAAATTCAAATTGTTCCGCCAGGTTCAAAATATGAATACAATTTTCAACAGTCAAAATTGAGGTTAAGTATTCTAAGCAGAGTTCAACAACCTTATTCATTCTCAATTGTAGTGCTGTGTAAAGGACACCCTCTACATTTTCTAAAGTCAACATAATCTGTGATGTGTAGGCATACTGTATTATTAACTCAACACCGCGAGGATTTATATTGTTACTGAGTTGCACATCATGGATGTTATCGTTTTCCGTGAACACTCGTCGGAAGTAATCACTGCATGAGGCCAATACAGCGCGATGTACCATGAAATGTTGCTCGCCAGCGATCAACGTACCATCACAAAGGAGACGCTCAATGCGAAGTGAATTCAGCTGCTTCAGTAGTTCCCTACTATGTTCAACATTTTGGAAGCTTCTGCTCGGTGGTGGCGCTTGCGACTTGTGGTAGCTACGCTGAGAAGTATTTATTGACCTTTTAACTACTGCTGCAGCCATTGTTTCTGTAAAGCAAAATATTACAGAATTTAGGAAAACATTTACAATACAATTTTGCATTCTATATTATACTGTGTAAACTATATTACAATTATATTAATATAATTATATAATATATAATTAATATGATAAATCTAGAGAATATCTTCTCCAATTACAATATACAATTATTTCATACATAAATAAGCCAAGGCACATAATTAGAATTCTAAACTCTACAATTAGGTTACAGTACACATACAGGAGCTGTGTTGGAATGGTAGGTAAGCTATACAATTAATATCTTTTTTTGGAGTGCTTATTCTGTTAAATAACAGAATTGTGCACAGATCTACTACTGCAGTCATCTAAGTGGTGTTGGGGTTCAAAACAATGTACAGAACATCCTACCACAAAACAATTAATGTTAAATTTTAAACCAAAGGTGCTCTATTTTTCACACCTGTAAAGATTAGGTGTGGGGTTCTAGCTCACACAATAAGATGATTTAAGGAGGGGGTGGGGGAGGGTATTTTTTGGGACATGCATCTCCTGCACACCCACTGATATGGCAATCTGGATGAAAGTATAATCGTCGACCTCAAATCAGAATTTCAAGGCCTGAGGTGATGCAAAAAATAAACATATTGTCAAATCAAATAAAAGAAATCAAATCATTGCAAATCTTTATTGCCCAAATATAACAGAAATGTTACGGCCTAGTGTGCACAGATAATTTGTCCCACAGAGTCCAAAACATAAACTCTACCAATGACAACAATCATTCATAAAGTACAATAAGCCTACACAATAATGAAGTCTGATAAAAGAAACAAACAATTACAAGATGACTTATTTAATACAAAGAAGTCTTCAAACCGTCATTCCCGAACCACTAGATTTAAAAATACCTTTGTTCCTTATTCTATTGTAATTTTTAATCAGTCTTTTACTATAGATAGAGTTTATTCTTTGTTGAGGTCTTATTAATTTTGTATTTTAAAAATTATTTGTAAATTTTGTAAATCTTATAAATTGAAAGGGAATTTGTGAATACGATGCATAAAAGTATACGGTATTCTACCTAAAGTTGGTACATCATATTTCAATTTTAAATCATCAACTGCAAGATTTTTCTATTTAATATAATATTTAAAAATTAAAATGTTTAAAAATTTTTAATTAATTTATACAGCATTTGCACTGTAAAATATTCAGCACAGCAAGAAGAGCAAGGATTGGTTAAAAATGCCAAAAATTACAAAGATTTTAATTGAATAAACGAAGGACAGGAACACAAATTCAACCAATAGCCATACATGCACTGTAAGCTAACCAAACCTAGTATGGTGGAACTACCTTACCAGGCCCTTCCCTGACTATTGTAGGCCATGTATAAAAAAAAGGAGTTTCTCGTCCTAATATTTTGAAAGAAAAAGAATGAGAGCACTATTTGTTTACTCTGAGATGGCAAATCCAAGATGGCCGATGAAAAACTGCTACTACTTTTACCAAGTCGACACACTGAAAGCAAATAAAAAAGGCACTGTAAGACATGATTCTTACCATGTATCCCCAACCACGAACGTTCTCGAGAGGAACTTTATTGATGTGAATTTTACAGATTTTCATACACTTTGTAAAGTAAAGGAAATAAAAAAAAATAAATAAAAATTTGGTGAGGCAGAGAAAATGGATGCGCGAGGAGACATGAACTTTTTTATTTGGCCTTAATCAATAGTTTATTCAATTATCAATATCAACAACACAAAAAAACAGGTGATCATAAATGTCTAATTGAACATTCTTTTTGTAATCAATTTCTCAAGCCAGTCAGGTTACTACAACTGTGATGACATCTGAACAAAAAACTTGAAAAATAAAATTGTAATTGTAAAAGAAAAATGTCCAATACAACTGTGGTTTGTCTAATTAATGAGAGAAAACATGTAGAATGCAGATTGCAAAAAAAAAAGTTAATCTAGAAAATGTATTCATATTTAACAATAAATAATTTATAGTAATATCGGTAAGTGAAAAAAATGTGATGCATAAGCAATATCACAAAGCCTAACTATTGTACCTCTGCATAATGTATAAAATCATTCCATAAGGCAGGCAAACAGAAAGCGTCTAATGGTAAAACACGTCGCACGCTTCACCAATCAATAACAAGCAGCAGAAAGTGACAAGTCTCCAAGTTATCAAACAAACCCATGTGTGTATGCAAACATCACAAAAACAATAAATGTTCAAGGAATAATCCTAATTATCCTATTTGTAGTCTATACTTGGTATGTCCTTGGCTGGAACTGTACATTGCAGAATTGAAACTATGATCATTGGGTGGAGATGTCAACAAGCGATGAATAATTCCATTTGTTGAACGGATTATCACACTATTGCGGGATTGGTTGTCAATTGGTAATCAATATTTTCACAATGGTTCACAGCGGGAGATTGTATTGAAATATAACATAACGTAGAGTCTATGGTGTGTACTACTTGTTGAATATAGTATTAGAGTGTTATTATTTCATGTACAACTATCAGAGAACAATAATATTTAATGCATTATTATCAATTAATATTCAGGAAAATATATAAGGACAGAATAAAAATAAAAATAAAATTTTGTTTTCTTATTTAGCAACGAAAACATTCAGACAGAGGAGAAAAAAAATTATTGGTGATTGTAAAACAGGATGGTAAATCCTTCAAATTTATATAATTAGGAAGAAATATACATATCTTATCTTTGGAGATTTCAAGGCAGCGGAGGGCATAAATAAAAATAAAGAACTAATTTTTTTTTTATTTCCACATTTTCGTGGTGGCGGATATGCAAATTGGCCAAAAATAAAATTCTATTTTTATTCGAAATCATCAATATTTGCAGTTGGCATGTTCGTTAAAAAAAGGTATAAAAAAAAGTCTTGCCTAATATAAAATAAACAAAAAGCAATAACAACAAAAATAGAAAGTTAAATAAAAAAATTTAAGTATACATTAATTTTGTATACTACAGTACTTTTATATGTTAAACACATTCACAAATTCTTATTACCTCCTCCAAAGGAAGTTCAATACCTATTCACTGCTGTCTTTTGTCTGTCTGACTGTTACTAAGATTACGCAAAAAAGTAATGGCTCATCATAAAATTTAGTTGAAAATGGTAAATAATAATCTAAAGAAAGTAAAGGTCAAAGGACAAGGTCAAAAAAATTCAGTTTTTGTTTACTCTAGAGCATATTAGGGCCTGTTTCTACTGGAAAGAAATAATTGATTAAAAATCGCTTTTTCGAAAAATCGCTTTTATTCTCGCAGTAGAAATGGGACCAGTTTGAAAAAAGCGATAAAAAAAAATCAATTAAAAACATGCAATGGATAGCGTGTTTGAACGGCAAATAACCTATTTTGGCTGTGCACCTTTTAGCTGCAACACAAAAAAGCGATTATCAGGTGAAATGTGACCAAAGACTAGATCGTATTAGGCGCGAACTTTCAAAAAAATTTGTCCTCTTGTTCATGTCCTAGGCATGAGAAAGATACTATCCTATACCATGCCTATACAGTTAGGAAAACAACGTGTTGTATAAACAAAATGGTGAAGTAATTTCTGTCATTGTCAAGAAAACCGATTTTCGAAAAATCAAAAATGCAGTTGCAACACCAGCAGGCTGTCTGGTACTCATTAAAAAAACGGTTTTAAAAAATCGATTATTTTGTGTTTATTAGTAGAAACACAACCTTAATAATTGAAATATACATGGCCTGCATATTTATAGGTACTATATTCAGTTACTGGGTGGAGGTACTGTACTATGGACTACAAAGTCTGAAATAATGCATACCATATTATTGTTTATACCTCATACAGTACATAGATTCTAGGCATCTGATTGGTTAAGAAGCGGGAATTGAAAGTACTGTTCCCCTCAAATAGTACTTTTTTGCCCTGTCGCGTTATGTGCAAACTGTAGTCCTCACTCAACATCGCGCTGATTGTAAGGGGACTGTGAACTCTACGACGAAAGAGATTGGCCCTTGTCATGGATCAGCAAGTAGACAATAAACAAATATGGAGGCTAGTCGGTTCGAGCTATCCTGGATGAAGGAGGACTAGCCTAGGCCTAGCATTCTTCTTGATGAAGCTGATAGCAAAAGCACCAAAAGACAAACTAAAATATGTCTTGTCAACATTCACCAAATATTGCAGACGATGGTGCTGTTGAAATTTAGGAAATGAGCAAAGAAGAACTAGACACGCTGATCGCCTAGGCTATAGTGTAGGCCTCTAGGCTAGGCTAGGAAGGTATTTTTTTTTAGGCCTTATAGAATCTACGTGAGCATGGTATGAGGTATAAAAAAACAAATATTGACTGCTCTAGATTCGGGGAACAGTTTTATCCATTGAACAGGCAATAGATTTCACCATTTCTTTTATAAGCAGTCAATTTATATAGGTATTCAAAATTCAATTTTTTTAGCTCACACAGAACATTCTCAATCTGTTTGGTTTACTGTATTGATTTTACTCTGCAGCTCAAATCAGTCCCAACTAAAGACATTTGTGGAACATAAAAGTATACAATAAAACACAGCATTATACTGTTTAGAACAGTTTTATTTAAAAAGAAAACTAAGGGTATTAAAAATCTACATGTATATTTACCACCCACTTAATTCCCAATTCTCCCATGAGTCGCGGGAGTCATACTGTGTCTCCCCCAGTACGTCCACTGTATTACCAATTGCCTCCCGTAACTTAACTGGTGATGGGTATAACCATGCGCAACAATTAAAAGTTGGAAGTGTTTAAAAAATCTAAATCATTTAAAACGTACTTGCCATTAAAGCTGAATCAAAAATGACATTGAAAAATTGTCAATGTTTGACATTGATAAAATTTGACTAAATAGAGATTGTTAATTATTTGAAAACAACAATTTGCTATGTAAAATAAGATTGATTTACAAATTATTTAAGTTTAACTGTATTACGCTATTACTACTTCCACCTTGGGACCATTGTAGTATCAGTATCAATCAAAGATCTTATAAACACAAGATAGCGCTCTCCGTGATTCTACGCGTAAAAATAGAAGCGTCGATGTTTATTTTATTTTTATTTTATTTTAATTATAAAATCTTTGGTATTAATGTTGATTATTATTAAAGCTTCAGCATAATTCTCTCATCCTCATCATCATCACATCAATAAAAAAAAATGTAAGTATCAATAAATCAATAAACCTACTTGCAGGCAAAGAGAAATAACAAAAAAAAATACCGGTCATCATACTGTAACCCTACTGTCCACTGAGATCAACACCACTGCCAATCCAACATATGGTAGACTGCAAAAAGCCTTGGTGAAGACCACCATCAGATGCCAAGGGATAATTACAAATAGATTGTTCAACTGTGATGTTCCCATACAAAGCCTGCTGCTCCCAATCAACAGGTGTTGTAACTCCCTCTACGGATTATGGTGTGGCAGACTACAGCAATGTAAATTGTTAGTCTAGCCATGACGCATGTGAATGCGTATTATAATCTTCTTTGTGTTATGTCTTCTTAGTGTACAGTATAGGGATGGTTGTTAGCCCACGTGCTACAGAACCGATACAAATCGACTTAACGAGCCTGATTTTATTAACAGAACAAGAGCTGGCAGGCAGCACCTGAACCGGATCTACAGTAGACCAGGTAGAATCTTTGAAGCCACCACTGAAACTCTCCCACCCACTAATCATCTTAAGAAAGCAAAGTGGCTGAGCCACCTCCTGTTTTTTCTTTCATAGCCTATACCCATCATGGTGACTGATCAGATTTTTACTGTCCTAATTTAGTCGATACAAATAATAACGCCCAATCAAAATTAGGAATTGGTTTATGACTGAATGTAACTGAGTGTACAGTAACTACTCTATAGCCAGAGCACAAAAAAAATGCATAAATTGGACAAATGTTGGAATTGTGGCAATCAACTGAGCACGCATTAAACAAGCAAAAGTAAGTGTTTGCAGGCAATTATTCACAGCTGTGCCTATTTGTATTAACTTTCTCAATCTCAACACCATAAGTGGAAGCTAGGTGTTTGATCTGGTATATAGTACGATATGACATTATCACCAACCAATGAAAATGGCTTGAAAATAAAATCCTATAAAATATAACTTATAACACAGTTTTCAAAACGGAAATTAGAATAAGAAATTACTGATATTCCTTCAATTCGTGTGCTTTGGAAAGTGAGGAAATAAGATCATGTCACATCTACCTTAATGGCTACCTACTGTATAACACAGAGGATTGATTGATAAGGCGATTGTACTAACATGGAAAGCAACAAATGGCCTGGTACCAGTTTACATATCAAAAATGCTAATCCTACAACCCAAATCAATTCATTTAGGCCGACCAGCCCTCCTTAAACTAACATTAGAATAACGCACTTTCGGCGATAAAGAACAATTAAAACCTCATAAAAAAGGCAACTAATCCGTTTACCTATAATTGAATCCAAGGACACCAGTGTATAAACACTCAGTACTTATCCTTGATAATGTGTTAATCCAATTAATATAGTGAGATAACGTAACGTATAGTTTATCGAGGGCGGGTTGAGCTAATGGTTTGAATCAAATCAATCTACAATCATCGAACAAGCATTTATCAAATAATGTACCAAGGACCCATTCTTTCTAAGTAACCAAGTGCAAAAGGTGGATTGGAACGTTGCCTGCTGCGGTGAATAATAGCCATGCTTGAGGAACAGGGCCCCGGGACAGGGGTGGATCCAGAATTTTTCAAACGTGTGCACAACAGTTTCAGAATAAGTGAGTAATAACACTGATATGCATTGAAATGTAAAAAAAAAATTAGTGTCAAAACAGGGGAGGGGTGGGGCACATGTCCCCATACCCTGCCTCACCCCTCCCCCTCCCCTTACTGGGTCCAGCCTGAGGAATATAAAGTAGGCCTATGTTGGGAGTAACAGTTTTACAGTAAATTCTGATTTTGTAGCGAAACAAATATCTGAAGGCCTACTTGTAATAAAATGGACTGATGCTGAAACATGGATGGGCGGATTTAGGGGGACAGGCGAGCCAGCCCCGACCCCCAACCTTTTGAAAGGTCAAAAAAGAAAAAGAAAAAGAGAGAATGAAAGAAAAAGAAAATAAATGATCGCCTCAGAGGTTATTTTCGGGCCTCTGAACACAAACTTTTCGCGGGGAATACGCCTTTTTCACGAATCGGTAGACATCTTGAAGTGATGACAAACATTGCGAATCAGCGGTGCGTAACCAACAGAAATAAGATAAGCTTTTGGGCGGATTTTTTGACATCATGTTATTTAAAAAATCATAACTCTATAACGGGGCGTCTTATCCAAAAAAAATTTCCAGCAAAATGTTCTTAAAAGACTAGTCTACACCACTATATGATTGAAAAAAAAATTTTTTTGACCTCTGAAATCAAGATTGAAAAATAAAAGCCTATCTCAGTAGTGTATTAAAATAGGTATATGCATTACAGTGCTGTAGTACTAGTAATACTCTGAACTAGCATTGTTTTAGTTACCATATGAGAGTTTCCTGTGTTAAAAACATGATTTACTATATCTCTATACCTCTTTATAAAACATAACTTGTACTTCGTAATAAGAGAAATATGTATATTATCGCTACTTGGAACAGTAACAACTCGAAAGTCCTATGCTACTGCACTGTAATACATTGGCCTATTTTAATACACTACTAAGATAGGCTTTTCTTTCTTTCCCCCACCCTTATGGACATCTCTGGATCCGCGTCTGCATGGCCATGGAATTATTATTTTGAATTATAAAATAATTAAAAGATAACATATGACTCCAGACCATACCTTCACTGTTCAGTAGTCCCGCATGGCTTCAATACAATAATTAACAGTCATTCCCATCCTTAACATCCTAAAGTCACTAGGCTTTCTGTTTACGGGTACTGTTGTTTTAGGACTATTTCTGACCTGGCATCTGTAGATAGAACGCAAGCTGCTGATAAATATTTACGAACGAAAATACATTATCAAAATTTACGAAATTCCGATTCACTAGCCATGCTACATAGCTACAAATGATACGAACTTCCACTGTGTACGGAACTGCGTACCAATTCGCTCAGGGCACAATCGTAGCCTCACCGACTAATACCATGGGAACAATGCAATAAAAGAGTAGATGCTCAGCATGTTTGCTCTATTTCTGTTGTAGATAGCCGATGAGGGCAGTAGTCCCAAATCTCAAAATTCTCATAATTTACTCTCCGATTATTTAATTTCTCAGCAAAAAGCACAAGTCAATAAATATTATATTACCAAGCCCGTAGCCAGGGGGGTTCGTTGGGTTCGAACGAACCCCCCTTTTCATGAAGTGTCCTTTCAACAAAGGCTGACTAGCCTACAATTTAGGCCTAGCCTAGAGCCTATCATCATTAAAAGTCCTACTTTAATACCCGATTGTTAGGCCTACCTAGTAACATCTAGTAACATAAAAAAATTCAGGCCCCGAAACTTCACTCAGAAATACCGGGATGGTGTTTTTATATATATATATATATATATATATATATATATTTGGCTTATTTATTGAGGCACGCCTCTAAAGTTTAGTTTTGGCCTTCCTGTTTACTTGTTTAGGCTGTTTATTCTAATCCCACCTAGCCTAGCCTATTGTTTCTAATCATGCTTGCATGAAATTCTCACTTTATACTATCTGGCTT